GGTGGATGTGGTGACAAAATCGGTTGCCTTTTCCGCTGCGAATAATTTGTTGTGTTCAGACTTTCCAGTTGGCAACAGAGGGGATAAAATTTTGTATAAGAGAGGGAGGAAAGAGGCAGGGACCTGGCATGATCAGGGCACCGCCATGATGACCGCGTATTTATTCGGGTAGCCGATTAGAAAAAGCTTTAAGATCTTAAAAATTGCTACTATAATATTAGGCCTTACAGGACCATTTGACAACAGAGGAGATAAAACGTGGTAGAATGATAGAGGTGAGGCGTTGGCAGAAGCAGGATGGACTCCAAAACGATTGTCTGTTATACAGGCAATCAGATAAACAAGGTGTCACAGTTGTAGTTATAGCAATTTGAAATTATAAGGGATTTACAAGACACATGGTTTGATACAATCTAACATAGCAAAAAATAATTGATGGTCGCGTGGCACATAAATGTGACCCTGCCAGAGAAGTCATGAAAATTGATGTGACATAGCAAGGGATAAGATTTTAATTAACTGCTGCATATGACGGTTAACTTCGCATTTTATTCGTAATGTCAATTATAGCTGCTGTTAGAACTACTCCAGATTCCAATGCCTTCCTCTAGGGTTCTTCTGAAGAAGGTCCTGTAGGATGGATCTTGGTGGGCGTAGGAAGGATTAAAACGTGCGACGAGGAGAGCCAGAAAAGTGGAAACGATTCTCAAAACAAAGTTAGAAGTAAATTACTGTCGCTTATCAGCAAAGGTCCTGTAAGGCCTAATATTATAGTAGCAGTTTTTAAGATCTTAAAGCTTTTTCTAATCGGCTACCCGAATAAATACGCGGTCATCATGGCGGTGACCTGATCATGCCAGGTCCCTGCCTCTTTCCTCCCTCTCTGATACAAAATTTTATCCCCTCTGTTGTCAGCTGGAGAGTCTGAACACAACAAATTATTCGCAGCGGAAAAGGCAACCGATTTTGTCACCACATCCACCCTCGTTCCCACTGTTTGAAATTAACTTCTGCTGTGTAGATGAAGCGCACATACCAACATTCTCGCGTCTCACTGCCAAGGTTGCAGCAACTCCAACGACATCACCTTGATTCATCTGGATTGGTTTGGTCTCGGAGTTCTCCTACCTCATCCGCACATTGGTGTTGGCGATGACAGTGTGCTCGATCTCCTCCCACACAAGACTGTGTCCTATCCTTTTTCCCTTTCTCTGCCTCTCTTTTAGACCTGTGCTGCGGTGTCCCTCCATCGACACACTTGAGGACCAACAGACGTGTCCGCCTCGCATTCCCACTTTCTGAGTGAGTATAACTGCAGATGTAGTTGAAATTGCCGAGAAGATGGGGCACAATGCATCAGTTGCATAGGAGGTCATGGAAGGTGTGGATAGCTGGTGGGTGTTTTCTTGCAGCACAGATAATGCTGTGATAGCTGGTGCGAGAGGTATGCGGTGAGGCAAGTCAAAGTTGTCGCTTCCAGGAGGCGGGAGGCAATACATTGACCACTCTGACGTCCTTCTAGCTCTTGACTTTGTGAGTTGGTTGTCGGAGTTAAGCAAATGCTGCACATATTCCCCTTCCCTCTGAAGACAAGTATTCGTTTAAGACTTTTATCTTCTACTGCCAAGTGGAAAGTCTTGAGACTTCGCAAAAAATTAATATTAGCTAATTTGGTTGCACCTCCAAAGTGGACTATTAAACTCAAAAAATTTTCCTTTTTTGTTGTTCATGATGCGTGGGGCGATCGACGTGTCTACTGCGGTTGTCGAGCTCACTCTTGGCTTTTGTGAAGATAGAAGAGGAGAAAAACAGGGAATAATGTACGACCAGAAGCAACACCAAAATACCTTATTTGCACAGCTTAAAAACAAAGAATTAGTCTTTGAGAAAGCACTAGACGATTTTGAAAAAAAGTGCACTGACGCAGCCATCGAATACACAATGTGTGCAAGGACGAGGAAGATTCCTTCCCACCACAGAATGGTGGACATATTTGGAGGCATCTGAGTGTCTTTTCAGCACTGAATCATCGTTGTCCACAAGCCAATGTGAAGAATCATGACAGTGACTTAGTATAGCGTCGGGAATTCATGGGACCTCTTCAAACAGCGTCCATCTTAATCCAACTGTAAGTGTTGCCTCGTTTTGAAGGAGCACCTTCCAATGTCACCAGGTAAATTTACGCAACAATGATCGTCAGTTCATTCAAACAATTTCTACGCCATTTTTACTTAACAAAAAGAACAACCTTTGCTCGTGTTCTCGTCCAGCAAACTGCAAAGTCGCTTTTTTGCCTTCTCGTTCTTTAGTGTCCTGCCTCCGAATTCGTTCTGCAATATTTGAATGAAACAGAAAAAAACATTGGCCTATATGTTTTTATCGGACCAATTGTTCTCCTCTTATCTCTCCTCTACATCTTTGCCTCCATAAAAGAGCATAAAATCTGGCGTCTTTTGAAGTTGGCTCTTCTCCTTAATGCAGTTGCAAACGCTCTCCCTTTCTGGCGAGAATTTTAGATCGTTAAAGACATTCTCTACCAGACATCTTTTTCGTTCTTTCTCCACTTTCAATTATGTCTCTCCTATCACAAATTATTTATAAAGTAGTGGGTAAGAGAGAAAAAGTCTTTGAGGTCTCCTTTAACTCTCCACCTCCCTCCCCTCCTTTCCTAGCCAACAGGGTGGGGCTAGCAGGCAAAGTGAGGAGAAGAAACGATAAATTTTCTGTCGGTAAGTTGTTGTGCCTCAGGCGGAGGTTACCAATCGAGATTATTCAAGCATCAAGGCCAAGTTATTACAGAATGTTGGGAAATGGAATAGTGGAATAGTATGTGAGAAACAATGGAGGTAGAAACTAAAACTGGGTTAATCCTAGGACAAGTTCTTACAAATCCAACACTTCGTTAAGTATTATAGTCACGCTTTAAGAGTAGAGAATCGTCACATCCACCATATCAGACTATGCCTTGAAGTCGGCATTGCAGTAAAATAAATCTCCAAGGCAAGTCTTCACTGCTCCCGGGGACCGGTTTTTAACTTTGGGTTCTTGGTGGGGAATAGCGAGTTATGCATCTAAAGGATTTTAGGCCCTTTTGCACTAGGGGTGCTACTGGAGGCGTTTAACCTCTCCAAAGCGCAGAGAAAATTTAGAAAGAATTGCTCTACAATCATCGAAGGGGTGAAGTAATGCTAGAAAGCGAGGACTAAAAGCATATCCATGCTTTATCATTAACGGACGTGACTAACGAGGATGCGTTTAATAAAGAGACACCCTCTTTCTCCCTGCTCCACCCACTCATAACACTTAATGTACTTTAAGGGTTCCGAACCCCTCCCATACCATCGCATCAGAGGGAGGAGGGGTGATATTCAGGCCAGGGAAATCAGTGCGCCTATTAACTCACCCCCATGGGGATCAACAAGAGGGCTGAGGGAGGGGCGTGGGAGCGTCTTATCATATGCGTGCTATCTTAATGAGCAGTCGCTCTCTTCGAACTATTATCCTCTGTAATGACACCTGATTCGTCCAACGAATTACTCACATGCTGTGATCCCATCTCTCTCATCCTTGTTCTCTCCACCCCGTCCCCACCTCCAACCCTCGCCCCTGACTCTCCCTCTCCCTCCATTAAAGAGTGCTGTTGTTGTAGTTGCAATAAAATGGTTGTTCCAACTGAACGGAGACAACATGGTCACCATGCAATTGCGATCTTATCCATTAGGTTACAGGCACAGATGCTCACGGATACACGTGCGTATACTATGCTTTTAAATGTCATACGAAAAAATGTGCGTATCGCATAAAATATTGCTTTAACTACTCAGGGAGGATTGGTTTATGAAAAATCTAACAAGTTTTTATCCAAATCCTTGCTTTTACCTCCTTTTAAGACATGCTACTGAAATCATTTAGGCCATCGAAGTTGCAATTGGGTAAATGTGAAAGTGCCATTCAAACAGAAGGGTGAAAAGGAAAGTACCCTCTACTGCATTGCATAACGTTGCACGATTGAGTCTCATCAAATATAGTTAAAATAGCCGGGTAACTACGGGTCTATTGCGAAAGACTACCCTATAGCGAATCCAAACCACGCGGACATTCTAAAATCATTAGTAAATTAAGCTTTACCTACTAATTTATTTTTAGCTCACCACCAGCTGTCATTTTTTTAAGGCAGAGGCGGTGAAAGGCGGCGACAATTAAAAATGTGTAGCCTCGTCTACAGCTCAAAACTATTCATGGTGGTGTGTTTCGCATGACTTAAATGATTCAGTTTGAGGTTATTTATGGCAGCTGTGGTAAGCCTACGCATTTTCTTTACCAAAAAAAAGCAGCGGGAAAAAATTAAATTAACTCTTTCTTATTCGCCTCTACGCATGTTTTACTGGCATTAATCTGTTTATCGAGGAAACCTGAGTGACATCAATAGGGTGTGGCTATTGGAGCTCCGCAGCGGGACTGCTACCATCGAGACCCATCGATTTCTCTCTGTCATGCCAAACGTGTTTGTCACGTTGTAGAAGGGCAGGGCGGTCAGGGCAAAAGTAGTAATGGAGGCCATAAAAGCTACCTCTACTTCCCATAGCACGGTAGCAGACACGGCGGAGATTCAAGTAGGCGAGGCCGAAAGCACTCCGGAGAAAGCAGAAAAGAGTATCCAAACCAGTCGAGTCAAATCTCGAAGGAGGCTAGAGAGACGCCACTCGGTTCATAACAATAATTTTACAAATGAGAAGACAGGATCGCGAAGATCCAGGAGATCTTTACCCTTTTATGTTAGATCCAAATATGCAACGATGACAGTTAATAGTGGAAATCGCCACCTCTGGGGCCCTCAACCAGACTCCAATAAGGAAGAGGAGGAAACGGTTGGTGACTTGACCAGTTGCATTTATGTCACATCAAGTGATGGCACCAACTATCGTGTCACCTTCATAGTTGTAAACGCTGCTCTTGAGCCCCTTTTCCTTCTACCACGAAATTCACCTCCAACTCGAAATGAAAAGATCAGTCAGATTAGCTCGCGTATGAAAGTGTACGAGGATCCAGGAAGATTGAATTATGTGACTGTTAAGCGACCCAAATTTAGTCTAATTGAAAGCACGATGTCGGAAAAGCCGGCTCCACCGATTCAAGTATACATCTCCAGTCCTATCACCCCCAAAACGGGTGTAAGCAGCATTAGTAGACCTGAAAAATCCCACATCACTGGATTTATCTACATCAGTACTGATGGTTTTGTCCTAAAAGTTCGAGTTCCGCCCCTCTCCATCAAAAAAGTTCGAAATCCCATTACCGAGGAGGTGCGTTCCACCATGGAGCGTCTAAAAATGCCTTGTTCGGAGGAATACAAGAATAAGGCTCGTCTTCTGGTTCGGTTGATCAATGACCTCTTCCGTGTTTCCTTTGATCTTACCAACTGCACGGTCACCAGACTGTCCGAGCACAAATCCCTTGCTGTCCAGACTGAAAATCACATGATTATTAGGCAGTGTTTTAGCCACTTCACGAATAAACGTGTGAATTTACAGCTACCCGAGAGCACTTACATATACCATGATCCGATGGTAGAGATTCGTCGAGTGAATCACTACTTCGCCAATTTAAACATCGCGCCTCTTTGGAAGTACCAAATGTATCAGAAGCGAATCACTCGAATGCGTGATCATAATACAATGGAGGGAGAGATAGAAAAGGTGATAAAACGAGCTCGTGGATCAACTATGATCTTTGATGGATTTGATGCCATAGTTACAGCGATTGGCGGCCTAATGCACGGTATAGTGGTGAGGGGTGACGAGGCATACGAGGCAAAAATTCACACATTTTTGGGGGACAGAAAGGAAACTGAAACCGAGAGAATGATAAGCGAATGGAGATTTGAGGAAGAGGAGGAAGAGAGCCAAAAAGAAACAAACCCTAATGTGAATTCATACCGACGACATTTGTGGGGAAGTGAGGAGGTGGAAGAGACCTTGGAAAGCTTGAATATGCCTTCTACTGTTGTCACCTAGGTGAAGGGTTCACCTAAGTGTTAAGTGAGGGGTAAAAGAATATGTCCGTGTTTCGATTAGTTAAATGAATAAACTGTCATCGACTTTTATTAGATGGCGAAAAATGCCCCACCTTACCACCGTACTCCACTCATTTTGTTTAAAAGGACTAGAAAAAGTATCTACAGATCATAAACCTACCTTGAAGTGTTGCCATTTCACGAGCGATATGGATTACATCGCCTTCAGTCAGTGAAGGAAAGGGGTTGGATTGAAGCAAGAAAGCCTAATTTCCCCATGGCTTGGTGTTGCCTACCTGAGACCTTGTTGATGAGTCTGTTAGATTGAAGTCAAAAGGACATTTAGGTCGCAGCCATAGGTCTCCAAGATGTTAAATTCTAAGGCGGAAATCATACTCTCTCCTTACTGGCTTTGATCTGAATCTTTGAGTGTAATGAGCGATGAACTTATTTGTTTCTCACTCTTGTTAACTGCTGTGATGCCATTGGCTTCGCCTTACTTTTAACTAATGAATAGATTAAACTGTACTTGAAATTAGTTACAAGGGCATCCTGAAGCCGCACGCATGCCGTTGACGATTGGGGATTGCTCAACAGTAAAATAACATTCAGGCTTTCAGTGGGTATTAACTTTGCCATGCTTTTGACCAATAAAGCGAGTACGCATTTATATTTTCTTGCTATAAATAATTTAAAAACATCTGATTTGCAGGATTATATGATCAATTTGTCGTAACCAATGGTAGTGAAATATCACTTCCGCAACGCTGATTGGCTGTTTATTTCTAGCTCCTAGCATTCCCATTGGCTAGAAACTTCCCGTTTGACCTAAAATTATTTTAATCATATTGATATGATAGTGTCGAGATTATTAGTCAATATCGACCTCTGCTTACCCTAATGATTCAGAGAATTGTGCAAGTCTGTAAATTTGTTTGCTTTCAGGTGCTGATTTACATTTTGCCCACATAAGTCTCATTTGTTATTCTCTTTTTGACTCATGGTGGATAGACTTGGATCATCTCTGATACCTCTCCCTATTCAGGTAGAAGTCTAACTTATTTGTTCTTTATATCACTCATTTCCTTGGAGTGACTGGTATTCCATGAGTCAGTCAGCGCTAAAGCCATGCAATGCATCGCCTAGAGACTGAATCACATCGATGCAACTTTTACATCCCTCTTAGGCAAACAGCATTCGTAAAGGCGCAGGAATGGATTCAAAAGGCGAGGCCTCCAAACGGTGACTGACAGCACTGAAAGTTCAGAGGTGTCGATCTTCACCATCAGCAGCTCTTTTACCAGACGACACGCTGCGGTTCCGCAGCCATCAGTAAGGCCATTAACAGTAAAATGTTTTTAGCTAAATTCACCAAAATATCCTCTCCAATTTTCATCTCCCGGAATTGCTAAGCATTCCTGAAAGAAATCTCACACACAGCCTCACCTATTTTAATGGTTAAAAACACATAAATTCGCTCAACTTTGATTGGTTCACCTGAAATTGTTTTATTTAAGACCCTAAAAATGGTGTTTTATTACCCAGATCGCGATCGTAAAAAAGGGGTGCGAGCACTCAGACTTTATATCATTCTCGTCTTAATCATGTGAAGTAATGAATCAACACCTAGGAGGATGAAGGAGGAGAAGGATGGGAGCGATTAAGCGTTCGCTTTTTTCATGGGAGCATTACTATTGTAACGAGTCCCGATCTCACCGGAAATCTTTCAAGTTCAAGAGCCTAGAAATTACCATTTTCATGGATGATTGTCTCTATCCTGGTCTGCTGAGTTAGTTAATTTTAGAACTATCCAGCCATCATATAAGTTCGACTAGGCCCTAGCGAGTGCCCCACACTCTACAGATGTGTGTCTGAAGTAATAACATTGCACCATTCTCCTCTCGAGACTGTAGTTGCTGTTCACTTCAGGTTAGGAGTAGGGATTACCATAGCCAAAGAAGAGAGTTGAGAATGCAGTGTCACCAAACGCTCCTCGAAGTGAGATTCAGAGACTCTAGACTAGATTGCAACAGCAACACAGTGAGTAATGGAAGCGGTGCGACGCTTCAGGCGCATCACCTACAGAAATTACAGAAGTGGAGAGAAGGGGAGGCACAGGACACACCTTTATCCACCTCATGGGTTAACATTGTTTCGGTGGGCGCTTTAAAGTTACTAACCTCGACCGTAAGATTATTCTGACTAGCACAAGTCCCTACGGCTTCCATAAGGTCCTCTGTTATGACCCTCCATGGGTTTGACCACCCATAGCGTTCTGCAATGACGCATATTCCTCCAAGAAGATAATAAAGTGTACTGATTAATAAGGGAGCCATAGATGCATCTGGAAAAGGTTTTGAGTTGATGTGTACGGACAACACTGCAGAGCACGAAGAGACAGAGTAATAGCCTTATAGATGGAAGCGCAAATGGAGGCTATGGAGGACGAAGCAGAAAGAAGTGAGATTTTATACCGGCAACATTTACCAAATGCCTTAAATCTCTGCCTCCGTTATGGTCTTGTATGCACCGACGCGGGCACAAAGCGTAGGAGATAAATGGTCGTGTCGTGCAGGGATGAAAGCTATCCCTATCTTAATGTCCCTAACTCGATGACCATGTTCAATGGCGTGCATTTGGT